CAAATGCATATGGCAGTGGTTTTTTCTGTTATGGTTGTTAATAATGTCATTAAGTTAAGCCGAGGTCGACTCGATGTGATTTTCACGGGTCAATTTGAAGAACTATTCGGACTCGTGCTCACGATCAGGGTCGAGTCTGGCCCCAAATTTTTTGAATAGAGTCACCGAAATCCAGACTTAATCACCCTACTCACTAATCCTTTTTCTTTTGCATAGTGAGGCTGCACGTTTGGAAGGATTATGTTCCTCACTAAATTTTCTGGGCTAGCAGCTCATGCAATCAAGGATTTGGTCAAAGGTATGCTTTATTCACTTGTGGTATAATTCACATTAATGATGCTTAAAGTTGTTATTTTGTCTCACTCTTGTCATATTAATTAACTGGTATATGGTGCTAATTTTATTTGCACTCACCGACATTCTTTGTATTTCTTTGGGAAGTTGTTGATCTTGAAAAATGTGCACATGGCCTAGAGATCCTGGGTTCTCTCATGTCCACGTAAGTCTTTAGTCCTGCACACTGGGACAAACTGTAAATCACACACGACCTTCTCCAAAGTAGGGGGAGAAACGGCTGTGTGCACTCTGATGGTCAGTCGATCAATGTAATTAGTGAAGATGTGTGGGGCGTGCTAGAGACATATGCCACTAAGTATTGAAGGATCGAATTCGAGAGGGTAGCAAGTAAATATAGAGAAATCAAGATTATAGTTTGAACGTATAAAGCTGCATTACCTTCAAATGACACAATGTGTGAGCTTTTATACAGGAAGATGTGCAATAAAGGTCGTTGAATGAAGTGACACGTGGCCTCATCTTGACGGCCGAGGTCTTTTCTGAGGTCTCATTCCATCAATCCTAAGCTGACAGACGTTTAATGCGGCATTTAATGATTTCGGAAAGTAGCCATTCTAGTGCCTAGGTCTGACATTTAATATGTAGATAGACAATTTGACCTTAAGGTGCTGTTGCAGTGAGTTGTCACATCAATCAGTTAACGACGGATTTTGTACGGAAGATCTCTTGAGAAGGTGTGAATTGGAAGCTGCATTTTGTGAATGTGGAGGCTAGGAGCCTGCATTTCTTCCCTGCATCATACATGACACTTTGGCTCGGCCATGGAGGGTCGGTCTCGACAGGCACCTTGGCTGAAATGATGCATCACCTCAGCTAAGTAGGAGGTGACGTGGAGTGCGGGCTTGTTGATTTTCTTAGTTGGCTGTCACATTGTTGATGATCTGGAGCCTCTTCACAAGAGGCGTGACAGAAGTAGTAGGAGTAAATCTGCTAGCTGATGACTTTCCTAAGCCAAGGTCCATTCCACGCATGTGGATCTTATGGCATGTGTTATAAATATTGCGTTAACAATATTTTATGCAAGTGGGGAACTTGAACATTAATAAATGCTTGCTCGAATAATTTTTCTATTTATTTGACAAGTATGATGAACTGTTATAATGGAAATTAAAAGGATGCAACTCCTACGCAATTTTTTTTTTGATATGTTCTCATAGTTGTTGGCATGAATTCTGGTGGGCAAACGCCTAAGTTGGAAGTTGTGGTCACTCATTCTTCAATCATTATAATTCCAAAGAGCTTTAGATCTGATTCAAAGTGCTATTAAAAAAAATCTCCTGGAATATTTCACTAATCTGCAGAAGAGAAAACGTAACCAGAAATCTGAATGCTCTTGCTATTTTTTTTCCTTTGAAACTCTCTGGTTCCTCAATTCTAAGACAATTCTGTCTATTCTTTTTCTATCAACAACATCAGCAAGCCAAGTTTTGTGATGAGCCTACTTTTTATAAGTTAATATCATTGAACTCCAGTAGGCAGATGTTATATCTGTCAGTTCTCTCATAAGGATCCAGAACATAGAGGATATTTGGGCCAATGAGAAGGAAGGGAAAAATTAAGAAGAGAAATGTGCTCTGTGTGCGTTCCTTTCAATGCTGCTTCTAAATCAGTTTTTGTCATATTTTGTTTAGCTTAGTCCCTTAGGTCGATGAAATAGAGCTTGATATTCTCATACCACTTTTTGCATGGAAGTACTAATTTTTTATGACATTTACATGCACATTTAAAGCATGTTTGAGCTCCATTCTTTTCCAAAAATATATTTTGTAATGGTGATTTGATGGAGAATGTGTGGTTAAAAAATAAGGAAAAATTTTGGGTTTGTGTGTAATGTTGTTTTATTGAAGAATGTGTGGTTGAATATAAGAGAGAAAAATGAATTTTTAAAATAATGAGGATCAAACAAGTGCTTAAAGTTACTCTTCTGTACTTTGGTGGACTTTATTCAATCAATTTTTTTTTTACAATTTTTTTTTTTAATTGCCTTTTTTGTTGCATTGCAGCTCCATCTTTTACATGGAGGACATCATATGTGCCTGTGATTCAAAACAATTATGCACAAGCCCTGGTTAGTGTTTCAAAGTTCTAAGATCAATGTATATTACCTTTTTACGACATTAAAGTTCCTAAATGGCTTGCAGAGCTTTATCTTGTACCTACAATGGTAACAGTTAAAACATACATTTGAATGTTGGTTCTGATCTAGTATAGGCTCCAGTTTATGGTAAAGCTATGGCCAGTTGGAGTGTGAAGTTAGTCTCAAATCTCAATGCATCATATACATGACATGACATAAATAGGAATGTAATGAGCGTGCCTTCCATTTGTCTGTTTCTATTACTTCGATGCCAGATGGTTTTGTTTGTCAAAATCCATGCACTTTGGGTTTGACAAGCACATGATAGTTACTGATGGATATATAATCATGTGATACTCAATGATGCATCTTCATTTTGAAAATCAAATATGAGTTGAAAAGGTGGTAAATAACATACATCAGTTTCATTTTTGCGTTCTCTGTTTCTTCCCCTGAAAAAGGGAAGGCTTGGGAACCATTGACTTCTAGACGCACATCTTCATTGGCCTATCTTCCTTTTTGTATTCAGAGACGAAAATCATTTTGCACTACAGCCGATAAGGTGTCAGAAGAAGGCAGGGAAGAAAAGCAAAAGTAAGTTCTCTAAGCACAGAGTTCCATATATTTTCTTTTCTTTTTCTGGTTCCTTTCTTCCCAGTAGGAAATTAAGTTCTGATCAGTGGCTCATTGAAGGTTGCACCTCGAGAGTTCACTTGACATTAAAATAACCCGAATAGGATGAAATCCAAATGAAAATGTAGCACTAGCCGGAAAAAAACATATCCTTCACTGTTAGAATTTTACCCAAGAAAAGCTTGGAACAACCTTCAAATTTATAGTTGGAGAGTAGGAGGTCCAAGTCAGGTAGATATGACATTATCGTTTTGTTTTCTATGATTATCTCTACTGAACTGATCGTATTTGCATGGTCCCCAGTAATAACCATTAATAGGCACCATATTAGAAACTTCAGTTATTCATCTTCTGTTGGTATTGCCATGTTTGGTTTCTGATGTATGGACAGTAAAAGCTGGCTTATATATGATGTTATATTATCTAACTGGTTGTTTTCCTATGCACCCTGACTGGACATACAGAGTATCAGTAACGTTTGTAGACAAGGATGGAGAAGAGATACACGTCAAGGTTCCTTTTGGAATGTCAATGCTGGAAGCTGCACATGAAAATGACATAGAGCTAGAAGGTAAAAATTGCCTAACATTGTAGTCTCCATTCTGGAAGTCGTGTCAACTTATCATGTTTTTGAGGGAGTTTACGGATTACCAGTTTGCTCAATTTCTTTTCTACTGGCATATATTGGTTCAATGTGGGGATTATATCTTTATATAATTACTTAGCTTTTCCTATTCGCCAGTACCTCAGTTTTTTGAATGGTATGCTTAAGCTTGGGCATAAGCTAATTCGCTTGGATATTTTTTACAGGAGCATGTGAAGGGTCACTTGCTTGTTCAACTTGTCATGTTATTGTGATGGTAAGTTACTATATAAAATGGCAGTTATTTTGTGAATTACCTATTCCCTCAGGGGAGCAGAGAAAAATTAAAAAGGGAAAGCAAAAAGGGGATATCTCGGGAGAAAATGCATTAGGAAAATCATCCATGTTATTATTTTTTGGTGCTTTTTTGCTAGGACGTGGACTATTACAACAAACTAGAAGATCCAGCTGATGAGGAGAATGACATGTTGGATCTTGCTTTTGGCCTGACTGACACGTACTTCCCTTGTCGTGAAAAATAATAAATAATTCTTCTAGCCTTTCTTTGTCCGTGAATTTATGCATTTTGATTCTCTACAGGTCTCGTCTTGGTTGTCAAATAATTGCAAAACCTGAAATTGACGGAATTCGTTTAGCGCTTCCTGTTGCCACACGGAACTTCGCTGTTGATGGATACAAGCCAAAACCTCACTAAAGGAAGATATTGTTCGAGAATGGATGATGCAATTCAGCCACAGTTTTGTAGCATATTAGATACTTGAGAAGTACTTTTGTTTTCACTGATATGCGACTAATGCACTGGGTAAATCTTCTTTTACAGTCTGACCCTGAGATTCAAATTGAGGACAAAATGCATGATTAGGACGTGCATCAGAGTACATTTTTGTGCTATACATTCCAAATAAGTCCTATTTTTTTTTTATTATTATTTATCACGAGTATGCACACTTTTGGAGACCTCAAAACGCTTGATGTTTGTATCAATTGTATCCTGGGTTTATGCTACATTGGTGCGGAGATGGATTTATGTATTGAATATTGATTTTAATTATTTGAAGCAATGAAGGAGTTGCCTTTGCTCTAAAATAAGGGTTAGCATTGCCACTGGCAGTCTGGCACTCTTGGTATTACTTCTTCATTTCTTCCAAATTCTTATTTTTGTTTAATTGATATTTTTTTCCATGAAAAATATTTTTCTACTTTTTGTTACGTGACCATATTTTCTTCAAAATCAAGGAAAATATTTTCTGTAGGGGGAGTGGGATTTTATTTTCCAGAGAATTCGCTCTCTCTTATCTATCCACCAATAAAAAATGGACAAGTATAATATTTTTAGATTGGAAACTAAAACAATCAAACACATTTAATTAATAATTTTCATACAAAAAAGTTCTAGGTAATTTAATTGCTTAGAATTTATTTTATTTCCTTGTAAATTTCATGCTCGTAATCAAACGCTCCCTTATAGTTGGCAATGTGAACATATTTATACATCTGGAATCCTGGATTGTTGATTGTTAGAATAACTTGTTTATAAAGTGGGTCGTGTAGGACTTAGGGTCCGTTTGGATCTCAAAAGCTATACCAAACGGACCCTTAAACCTTTTCAGCCTTCTTACGCCTAATTGATTCTTCGTATGCTTCCTGCAAAGCCTTTTCTGCTTTCATCATAAATTGTTTGAGCCTATCATAAAGTTAATCTTCCATAGTTCCTTCCTGCTCAAGTTCATTAACTAGTCAGAAAATTTTCCAGATAGCAGTATATAAAAAGTAATAGGCAAGGNAAGATTCTCCACCACACATTCACCCAATAAAATATTCTACACACAAACCAATAAAGTTACTTTAAATTTCAACCACACATTCTCCAAAAAATACTATTCATTACTCTATTTTTCTCCCAATAATGAGAGACAAACACACCTTATAATTAGTTACGAGAGACGGACCGTGTTGGCCATACGAGTTTTTTGCCCTATGCTCATTTTACATCTCTTTGAAAAACTTCTCATTGGGTGATTTTACTTGCGTTTGATTGTTTTTAGTCAATTATTAAAATTTACATATCAATCTTATGATTTAAAAAATGAATCGAGTAGGTAGGTAAATACGCAAGTTGAAGGCATTAATATGAATAAATAAATTTTCTCTCTCCATATTAGTTTATATTTTTAGATAAATTGGTTCAACCAATATTGTATGTCTTTTTTCATGTAGAGTGGAATACTCTAGAAGTGTATATATCGATTTTACTATACATGACTTTTATTTTTTGCTTCTCGTTAAAGAACTTTTTGAGAAAACTACCTTAATTTTTGTTTGAAAATTAATTTTTAAAAGAGCTTCCTATTCTATAAGTGTTGTTAGAGGAAGCTACATTAAATTGCGTTCCTCATAAAATTAGTCAAATAGAATCATAATTTAGTTGTTTGACTGAGTTCGGCAAACTTGTTCTGTTCGATGGAGAAAATGTTTTCCTCTTCTCCGTCTTCATATGGAAGTCTACAAAATAACGAGTTGGTTAAGGTTCACGATTGTCGAAAGGGAAGTAGGTGCAATACAATTCTAATAGTTGCGTGCACTTCGATATGAACAACAAAATTGTTGTTTAGAAACATAAGAAGTATCCATTATATTGTCCAATTTCATTTACTACTATACACTAAATAGGAGCTGGCGACGAATCAACTGATGCCCCAATTGAAACATGTACATTTTTTTTTTGGACAACCATTGAAACACATAGTTCAACCCTCATGGGATGATTTGACAAAAATATATAAGGATCCGTTTGATTGCAATAATGGAATTTGTGTTGAAAGAAAATGAATACCAGGAAATTGAATTGTCTAGAACTTGTTTTAGTGAGAATTGTCAATTAATTGTGTTTGATTGGTATAATTTTCCACCTGAAAAATATTGAAATTTTGGATCTTTTGGTATTCGTTTGGTTTTGTTTTCCATGAAAATTATCCATTAAAGGGATATAATTTGTTTTCATTGCAAAAAATAAATAAATAAAAAAGTTGCCTATAAAAGTTTTTCCCACCAAAAATCAAGAAAATGTGAGCATGTGAATAAAAGATAGAAAACTAATTTCATGAAAAATTTGGACAATCAAACATGCAAAAATGTGGAAAATGAAATTTAATTTTCATCTTCCATAAGGGAATATGTTACCAACACACATTATGTCTTGCCAAATTTTGTGCTAGGTGGGTAGTCAGCTTATTTTTCAAGATTTGAATGGTTTTAACTAAAATAATATTCTGGCAACAACTTAGATGAAATAATTAAGTTCTAATTTAGAGTTTTTTAATGCATAGACCCAAAAATAAATTCAAATTACATGTTAGGTTGAGTTGTTAAAATTTTGTGCACTTAAAATGAGTATTTTCCCTATTATCTTTGAACAACTTCAAGTTTAAGACCTTATACGAATTCATCTAACGTATCCCAACACACAAAGATTTTGATTTCAAGTTTTACGGTCACTCGATTACAAAAACTTTACACGTCAGGCTTAGGATGAAAAATAATTTACCTCATGTCGATAAACTTAATTAGATAAAATAACTAATAAATTTTATAACGAACATTTCTTTCTTAACTTCGTCGAATATTATATTTTATTTAACTTTAATTTCAATCTCAAATATATATTTAAGTAAACATAGACCAAACCCTATATCCATTGATTAGTTTATCTTATCTAAAATCCTTGGATGAGAGGTAATTCGAAATGATGATTATAAAGAATTTTGGGCCCTCTCTGCATCAAGTATTTCCCACCATCCTCTGCTTGCCCTTCCTAATATATTCATCTTTGAGTATTATATTTCACAAAATGCCAAAATATAACCCTAACTAATTCAATGAAATAAAATTAATCAATCCTCATAATTAAAAAAGAAAAAAAAGAAAAAAAATCAACTCGAACAATGGGGCCATATTGGCATTCGACCCTACGAGCTTTTGGAGAAAATGAAAGAAAAATATAAAGAATTTAAGAATGGTACCTTTAACCAACAAATGACGATATAATTAAAATTTACAAGAATAACGATCATATGAATTAATTTTATTAAGAAAAATGTTGTCCTGTGTGGTTGGAGGTTAAGAATGAGACAAGGTCTTTGTGTTCTATGATTAACAACTACTGATTAATTTAAATTATAATATGCTTTCTCCAAAATGTGAAACAAATTCTTGTCTTTTTTATGCTTTGATCTGATTTCATTCTTTGAAATAAACTAAAAAAGAATGTCTTTCACTAAATGATTTGAGTGAAACAACATTTAAGGACCATACCTTCCATCTATTCCTAATTATAAGCCTAAATTTTTCGTTGACAGAGCATGTTTGGTATGTTCAATTAGACGAATGATGAACGTTATATCCCGTCTATTGTACCGAACTTATCTTAAAAAATATTCGAGTGCATTAGATGAGTTTGGTACGTTGGAATAAACTGAATATCATAACGGGTTAAGAGTTTGTTTGGTACAGATTCTCATTTTCTACAGTAAATCAATTCTTATTTTTAACCACACATTCTTCAATAAAATAATATTTTCCATCACATCAATATTTTTTTTCTTCTTTTTCAAACACACATTTCCCATCATATCACTATTCAAAAATTAATTTTTCCCCCAAAAATTCATACCAAACACATTCTAAATCAATTGCATTAGTAAGTAGTAAACCAAAATTAAAAAAGTTTTTCGTTCAAATATTATTTTCTTTTTTTACTATTTTCTCTTACATTTAGAGCATGTTTGGTAAGACTTAAAATCCAATTAAAATTGAAAATATAGCTGTTATTGGGTCCCACTAGTCTAATAAAAGTCAACAATAATGACTAATTTTTCAATTTTAATCTCTACCGAAGACGCTCTTAGGCTTTAAGATTTTTATTAACTTGCAATTTGAGGACTTTTTATTTTAGTCATTAATAAAAATATAATGATGTAACCCATATATTATTTAATTTGATGAATTTGAGGCTTTTGAGTTCTTCCAAAACAATAGGCAGAATCCAATGAATAAAAATTGTTGTTGACATAAAATTAAGAATTTCCAATTGCTTTGACTTAGAGAAATTAACCCACCAAACACCAAATCAAGAAAAAAAAAATTAATTAGAAAAATTAAGGTTTGATTTATTCACAAAATATTTGATTATTTGCACCAAACTTAGACTATTGAGTCTATGATATTTTTTTCCTTAAAAAATAGCTGTCATTTAATTTTAAAAATTCGTCATAATCATCTATTAATATATTATTTGGATTATAAAATTTAAATTGCCGACAATGTTTCTAGGGTAAAAAAATAGTAATTTATTGCTCTTAACATTTTTTTTTATTATTATTAATTTTGGAATTTACTTTTTTTTATAGCAAGTAATTTAATTTATTAATTGAGAAAATATTTTAATCAAGTATGTTTTAACAAGATTATGTGACAAATGGTTAGAAACATGGGATTCTGAGAGGTCAACTAGTTTACTTCAAAATTTTCATATCGAATCGGATTTTGTTTATGTAATTGACATAATTTTACAATGTATCTTTACTAGTAAACTGTGACTAATATATAATGTTATCAACCCCGGCCGGAGTACGATCCATTGAAGAAGTCAAGTCATTGATCGACAATTCAAGTGTCTAGTAACTATTGAGTTAAGTT